CCCCAAAACCCCAAAACCCCAAAACCCCAAAACCCCGATAAGTAGTAAGAATATTGATAATTATTTATTTCAATTTAAGCAAGCTGGAAACTACCCTTTCCTTCACTAATTGCATATAGCAATCTTTCTTTGAGCAATTCCTTGTTTGAGTATTCTGGCAAATCTAATTGATTGAAGCATGTATGGGAGACTGGAAGTCTGTTGACATCATCTCCGAATACTTTATGAATATTAAACTTCTGAGGTCCTCTCATTCCTTGTAAAGCACAGAATCCTTCAACTGGCACTTTAGATGAACCTGTGACAAACTGCAAGAACTCGGCTTTCTCTTGGTTATTGAATTCTTCGAGAACTTCCCAGAACCATTGGATCACCATTGAGTTCTCATTATAATTTGTATAGTCAGTGTTTGCTCTCATATCGTCAATATCAACAGTTGGAAGTCCTGAAATGAGCAATTCAATTTCTCCGTGATCGAAAATAGAAATTAGTTTTCTTGGAATACAATCATAGAATCCATTCAAGAATGCATCCACTTGCTCTTTGATACTTGTGTAAAGCTTGAAGAAAGATACATTCTGAATGTATTCTTTTTTGTTATCATTTGTAACCGGGATATTGCGTCCGTTTTCGATCAAGTCATGAATTTTTGTTTGGCCGAAGAAATCAATAGTCTCAGCAAATGTCTGCTCAAGTACAGTAGCATCATTCTCTAAAGTCCACTTTAGATTTTTGTAATAAGTGTTGTCATAGTCTTCAATATCGTGCCAACTAATTGGGACTCCTCTCATAAGTTTATATAGACACTTGATAAAAGAGCATGCAATGTATTGCTCTTCGAGCAAAGCTTTTCCAATGACTCTTCCAATGAATTTGAAATAGTTCAAATGGTTATTTTGAACATAAGACTTTGGATTTGGATAGTAAGTGGATCCTGAATCTGAGAGACTGAACATTCCTAGATTGGGGTTGAACATTTGCTTGGAGATTTCGGTGAACCACTCTCTAGTCAATCCTCCTGCATCCTGTCCTCTTTCTCCTGTGAATACTACTTCTAGCTTTCCTCTCCAGTCTTCTGGGGGTAGAGAGTTGATTTGGTCAAAACTATTCTGGAAAATCCTAACTTGGCTGTCTCTCTTTACTTCAACTCTGAGAGTGTTATATCTTGATGACCTCTTTATCTTGTTGATTTCTTGTCTGAAGAAGTGATGCTTGTTGTCAAAATCGAAGATATCGGGGACTACGTAGATCATACTCTTAAGAGAGTCTCTAATCAAGGTATTGTTCTGTCTTATTAAAGAATTGAAGATCTTTCTGTGTTTGTTTCATAGATCAATTAAGAACTTCACTCTTTCATCCTCAAGGTAAGTTTCATCAATAAAACCTTTTATCTGTTTGTTCTCAGCATCACGGTAATCTTGCATCACTACATGGGCTCCTTCGAAGCTGTGATCGAAGACTTTCTGTTCAATTTTTTTAAAGTCTTCTTGGAAGCATATGAACATTGTAATTCCTACAAGCTTAATGGTGTCAGAAATGTCATTTTCATTAATCTTGGCTAAAATGTCACTGAAAACCATAAACAAGTCTTTAAGTTCTGGGATATCAAGAATGGTTAATCCGTCTTTCTTTAAATTTGCAGTTTTATTTCTTTCTTCTTCGCTAGCAGCTGATCTATGGGATTTGCTAAATTGTTGAAGGAGTATCTTGAAGATTTTGACCAGTCTTTCAAGTCTGTGAGCCCCTTCAAATGCAATGCTTTTGACGTTTACTTCATCAATGATGCTTCTTGTTCTTGGTCTTGCAGATGTTTCAATCTTCTCTTCTTCTAAAAATAATTATTTAGATTACCTTTTTGTTCTTCCATGCTAACATCTTCTGACTGGTACTCAATGGCTTCTAATATGTTATCTATAAAGGTTACCTTGCACTTCTGTAAAGAGTTGCTCTTTGACTGAAGGGATGGTGGCAATGAAGCTATTCTTAAAATTTTCAAATATTCATTCTGGTTTGATCAAAGCAATAGAGTGGAACAAGCCGCATATTTGATTTACTGTTTCCTTATCTATTTTCAAAGTGATGAGCTTGAATAAGGTAGCTAGTGTTTCCTCATCGAGTTCAACCTTCTTCTGTCTGATTGGGTTTATGTAATTTTTAATTAAACTAGAAGCTATTTTCAGCATTTCAGAAGTATCTAGTTGGTTAGAGAAGAAATCGGCCGATATTATATACTTCAGTAAACTCAAGAAAGGAGAATCTTCAATAAACTGGGGTTCGAATGTTCCCTTTTCTCATGGATTAAACCAGTTTTGGACTTGGTTGTAATTATGTTTCTTCTCTCTAGAATAGAAAGCAATTCTAACTTCTTCATTTTCTCCATATCCTCTTGTAGTCATATAACTGAAGAGCTTAAAAATAAACAAGGCAATTTTAGGATGGTGAATTTCCTCCAGATACTTAGTTTCATGATTTGGAATATAAACTGGAGGGAAGATTGACGACACTGTTAAATCAGTTCTTCTGCTAATAGATTGCTGGAAATGAGTCAAAAAATCTTTGTAGTACCTCAAGAGCAACATAAAGCTTTGGTTTATCTTGGACCTAATTACAGGGTTTTTACATCAGTTATCAATTGGAGCTGCCAGAGTTTTAAAATCAATATAATCCTTTTGTTGAGATGCAATCATTATAATTCTAATCAAACTCCTTAAGTTTTTGTCATCGGTAAAGACATGTCTAATTGTGCTGGTACTGATGTCAGATGCTTCAGGATTGGATTGAATAAGTTTTTCTTCCATTCTACATAAAATCTCAACAAAGTTATAATCGTCTTGTCTCTGATCTCTATGTCTGGGATGATTTTGATCTCGGTCAACTCTGTTCATCATCCTCCTAAACATTCTCTCGGGATTGGCTTGTCTCCTGTGATGTCTGCGCTGGAGTTCTCTCTGATATCTTCTGCCTTCTACTTGGATATGTTCAGGAAGTGTTTGCATTGTCTGTTCATCCATTGTAATGAGTATTTCTCTTCTGAGATTTTGATCCGTAAGGGAAGCTAAGAAAGAAGCTGTATCCATTGGATCAGACTCTCTCTGAGGTGGCTCAGGCTCAGCAGGAGGCTGCCCTAGATTTCTTCTCATGAGGTTAGCATCAGCTAAAAGCTCTTGCTTATATTCTTCAGGGAGAGAGTTAAATAACTCCATATCAATTCCTTCTGGTAATTGCGAAGCTTGGTTATCATTCTCTGCTTGCTCTCCTTTGTTTTCCTCGTTTTCATTCCTAATAACAGGAGCACCTTCTCTCATTGGTGATGACTCCTGAGCAGGAGCATTACTTGGAATATGCACAGGTTGTGAAGGAGCGGATGGAGCAGGTGACCTTCCAATATTTTGTTGAGAAGGCATCGGTGGTATTTGAGGCATTGATGGCATCGTAAAGTTCATGCCTCCCATTGGAGGGAACATATTAGCTGGAGGACCTCCAGCATTTCTCAATGTCTGTTCAAGAACTCTTGTTATATTATTCTCAATATTGCTATTTTGCATGCCAGGAATTCCAGATCCAGGATTTAGAGGAAGATCCGACTGTCTTCTCTGTAATCCACTCATGAAATCTAGGAGAAGTTGATCGTTTGAGAGATTTTCTTGCATTTGAGGCAAAGGTTGACTTGCAGGAGTATCTGGCTGATTTGCTTGAGTTGGAGGGATAATTTCTTGAGACTCATTCTGTGAAGGTAGTGGAGGTTGCTCAATTTGTTGAGAAGATCTAGCTTCCTCATTTTGAAGCTCTTGATCTTGTGCTTGTTCTTGTTCATTGTTTGCATTTTCAGATTCTCTCAAAGAATTTTGTTTCTCTTCTTCAGATGGTTGCTCTTCTCTTACAGCACTAGGAGGGTTTTCAGCAAGCTGTTGCTGTTGATCCACTTCAGCTGATGACTGTGCTACATCTTGAGAAACAACTTGGATAGATGATAAGATTGATGCTACTTCCTCCTCTGGTAAGAACCCTAGAACTTCGATATCTATTGATTCATTCCTCACCTGATCAAATGTTAAGTCAAAGGAACGAATCATTGCTGCAATTCTTGGATCAACGTTATCTGGAACTTCTTGCGAAGATGGTTGCTCATTTTCATTTCTAGCACCAGTATTTTGGGATGTTGAATTTCCTGGATTTTGAGGTTCTTTATTTTCTTCTTTATTTTCCTCTTGGATGGGTGGTTGTTGATTATCATGATTTACACTAGTATTTTCTCTATTATGAGCTGTATTCTCTGTCTGGTCTTCAGTATTAGAAGGCTGCATTGGCACATCTTGGCTAACTTCTCCTATATTTCCTTCTTCATTTGGAGGATTTTGGACACTCTCTTGTTGAACATTCTCTTCAGATTGTCTCCTTAGATTCATAGATTGCATGCCTTCAACTATTTCATTTTGACGATATTCATTCTTACTTTGGGGTTCTTCTGCTGCTCTATGCTCCTTCATTTGTTTCTCCAATTCTTCCTTATTCTTCAAGAGCTGCTCTTTTTGTTTCTCCATTTCAGCCTTTTGCTTGAGCAAGCTTTCTTCTTTTTCCTTTTTGGATTTTTCAAATTGTTCAATCTCTGATTTTGATGGCTTGTTTTCTATGACCTTAGTGTCACAGCTATTTTCAAGCAGTTCAGATATCGAAGTTTTATTCTGTTTAAGATTCCTATAAATAGTCAGAAATATCTTACCTCGCAATATTGAATGGGTTAGCTATCGATGGAGATTCTCTGGCTTGCTTTGCTTCTTCATTTCTCCTTCTGTTTCTAAAAATAAATTAAATCCATACTGATTTATATTTCCTAATCTACCACCGTACTCTTGAAGTTCGTCAATTTGAGCTCTGATTCTTTGGAACTCCATTGCGAATCCATCATGCCTGAGCCTGTCTTCTATAGGTCTATCAAATCTTCCAATATCAGATAGCCTGTACCGGCCATTCTCTATTTCTTCGTTTTCGTCTACTGGGGGAATCCAATAAGATATCTCGTTATCATTCTGGTTCTGATTGATTACTTGAAAGAAGGAGTCTAAATCGTTTCCGTGTCTCCTATCGCTATCTCTTCTGTTATCTCTACCATGTCGTTCGAACAAGTCTGGGATACCAAATTGATTACCATCCCTTCCTAGGAATTGGTTTCTTCTATTTCCATCTCTGCCTCCAAACCTATTGACCATGTGCATGATCCTCCTGTATCCGCCAACACCATCATCGTCAATTTCAATGAGCTCATCTTCTTCTTCATCATTGCTTTCAATTTGATGTCTTGGTCTTCTGATATTTCTAAGATGTTGCATCATCTCTTGGTTAGCATCAAGAAATTCCATTTCAAGCTCATCAGTAAGTTCATTCTCCTCCATATTCTGGTTGAATAATTCTCCCATTTCATCTTCGTTCTCAATTTCAAGCTCAAAAGGTTCATTTCCGTAGAGTACATTAAGGTCTTCTTCATTTCCTTCTCCTTCAGAGTCGGAACCCTCCTCTGAGTTTGAATTACTGTGAATGCTATTTTCTTCTACTTGCTCCTGATTGTCATCATCTTGTTCTGAATCGCTCTCTCCATCATCTTCGTATTTAAGTTCTTCAATAAGATCATCAAGAGATACGTTCTCACTCTCAGTATCGTTTTCATCTGCTTGTGCATAGGCTTGTTCTATATCATCATTATCGTTAAGATTCATTTCTCCTTCTCCTGCTTCAGAATCAGCATCTTGATTATCTGCCACTTCTCCTTCAGGATCTTCAGAGTTTTCATCTAATGGACCGAGACCAAAGAAATACATATCCCCTTCATCCTCAGAATCTTGCTGTAACACTTCAGGATCTTCAGGGGAGTCATGCTGCTCCTGCTCCATCTCTAGAATAACCTCGCTTTCTGGCTTCTTCCTTTGAAGATTGCAGTAAGTCATGCTATCTACCAGTGGAACCAGCAAAGGACTCAAGATATGGAAACTTGGGATGGATGAAAGATGAATTGATTTCAATAGATCAGATAAAATCTTGAAGACCTTTGTTCCTGATTTTAACTTCGTTAAAGTGTGCGCTACATTAGCCTTGCTGTATGCTAATGGAGAAGAATTGTCATGACTCAAAAGTTTTCTGATTAAAATTAAAGCAGTAGCAACTGAAGATACAGATTTTAAGTTATTCAGTTCAGATGGAACGGCTGCTTTCTCAAGAAGTGCTCCAAGGATTGCTTTCTTGATTTCAAGTTTGATTTTACTTTCTTGTGGGGTCATAAGTCAGTTAAAACCAATGAGAGTTTTCATATTTTGTGAGATCGTGTTCTCCCATTCATTATTTCTACCCCACTTAACTCTGTATTTTATATGTTTTTCGTCAAGCTTAGACTCATGCTTGGGACCTCCTGCATCATAGCATGTTTGGATCTGCTCTTCTGGTCCAAGCTCTGAATCTTTGTCTGGATTGTAGTAACTCCATGTGATGAATCCCATATCGTAAATCTTCTTAACCAAAAATTCTCCAAAACTAGTGAATGGCTTCAGTTTCTTAGATTTGTAAATTACAACCAATGAGGCGGTGCTTGGATAAGTTCTTATTATCTTGGTTAAAATCTGCAACAGATCCTCATAGCTGAAAATTCATTGTGATGCGAAATATTTGTCTTCTTTAGGAGAGCTTTTCAAATTTTCAAAATTACAGTTGTAGAATTTGTCCACTATCTTTTCGATAATATTAAGAACAACTTTCTTTTTCCATTTTGGGAACCTTTCTTGTGCACTTATCAAACTTGATACAAGGAAGTTGTCTCTCTTAGAAGGAGGAGTAAGGCCGGTTCTAGAATCGCTTTTAGACCTTGCTGTCAGTGAGCCAGATTTAATTGGCTTACTATCTAAAAGCTTCTTCCCCTCAGTAGCTGGGGGTTGATTCTTAAAATTGTTTGAGCTCTCTTTAGCTTGCTTAGCAATACAATCTCTTAGAACAGAATCCTTAAGCTTGATGATCTTATACTCATTTTTAATATTCATTTCTACATCATATTCTTTTACATACTCAATTTCACAGAGGTTAGAGCATGCCTTGATGAAAATACTGCTGGCTCTGACCTCAACAGATCTCAGCTGCTCTAAAAATTGGCTGAGCTTGATTCCAGATCAGTTTTTAAAAGTAAGATAAGCAATATCACTCTTCTTCAGAACGGTGCTCTCTGATCCCTTGGAGCGTTTATTCTTTATCAAACTTGGATTTGAAGGAGTGACAGCATCCGAAGATTCAGATTTCTTTATAATAAGAGATTCTTCTTTAGGCTTTGCCTGTTTGGCCTCTTCTCCAGGATTTAAATCTTCTCCTGTCGCATTTGCTTCACCTTGGCTTTTCTGATTAGCATTATCCTGAGGTAGCTGATCTTTTTGCTCATTCTCTTTCTTTCTCTTCTTCATAGATATTTCTTTATTTTTCCTGATTTCTTTGGAAAATTCTTCATCATGCTTGAAGTAAAGTATTTTACGAATTATGTTCTCTGAAGCCTCAAGAATAGCATTCTCGTCTTCCATTAGCTTAATAACGATGCTGGTGAAGTAATTTCTCCATCCTAAAATATTAGCGAAGCTTACTGCCTTTATGTTTTAATTTAGACTTGATATTCAATAGTTTCTTGAACCAATTTCCTCTCAAAAATGTATCTGAGTTCTCTTGGTTTTCTAGCAATTTCAGTAGAAGATACATCAAATTCTGGAAGCTGCTTTGTGTGAAAGATAAATCAAAATTATCTCCTGCATGCTCAATCAAAGCCAAAGCAATTTTATTGAAATGTTCTTCAGATAGCTGTTTGTTCCATGAGCTCATAATTCCATCAACATTCTTTAAGGTTGAGTCAGGTCCATCATATCTCCAGTTACGAAGATTAGTTATGAAGGATAGAACTCTATCTGGGTAAATATGAGTCTCTTCACTCATTTCTTTATCCGGCTGATCTTCACTATTTTCTTTCTTCTTGTCGTCTTTTCTAACTTGCTGCTTGTCTTCTTCCGCTTTCTTCATTAAAGATTGAGTTTGTTGAGTTAACTCAACCTGCTCCTTGGTCATGCTACTGAGAGTATAAATACCATACCCAGTAATTATCAAAGTCAGGCAATTATCAACAATGTCCTGGAAGATTTGGAACTCAGATTTTGGTGGCTCTACATCAGTAAGATCTCCTATTTGGAACTCCTTCTCTTTCGGAATGAATTTGAGTTTTTCTTTATTTGCTCTTTGTATCAATAAACAGAAATGATCTGTAATTGATTTGAAGAATCCCACATTTTTGACTAAATAGTTTACCATACTTGATAAAATCTTGGTGAGAGTAGCTACTTTCTTTAGTCATGCTTTCCTTTCTTTTTGATATTCGTAACTATTAAAATCTCTAGAAATTGCCTTTTTGGACTCTTCGGTTTCTACTGGAAGCACAATAGGTGAATTTCCATCTTTATCTTTTGTGAATATTGGGGTATTCTCATCACCATCAAATAAAAACCCTTCCACTGTTTTCATTACGTCGATTCATGTATTCATAAGAGTTTCAACTTCTTCATCTGAAGTCACATACTTCAGCATGAACTGGGTGATGTTTACCATGTCTAAGTCGGTTAGAGAACTGTTGAATCCTGTTAGAATCCAATTGAATAGCATTTTAAGCCATTCTTTTGTAGCAGCAGCAAGTTTATCTCGATTAATCACGAATATTTCTGGATCATCAACCTCCATTTTGATTTCTTCTTTATTTTTCTCAGTATCTACTTTTTCTTCCTCTTCCATTTCCGCGTCAGGCTGCGAATTCTGTTTCTCCTCTTCTTCTGGTGAAATTCCTCCGGTAAGGGCAAGTTCAATTGCCTGCTCAACATTTCCATATGTCCTTCTAAGTGCTGCAGATGCGATTCCTCTAGAGAAACCCATTCCTGTAATAAGGCCTATAGATTCCTCATCAATTCTAAGTTGAGCAGGCTCTTGTTCATCATCTCTATCCTCATCTTGCCCATTAACATTCAATTGTCTAAAGCAATCGCCAGTGATCAGCAACTTCATGATGTCTATCATTCACTCCAAAAAGAACTTGGAATTCTGAAGATAAAATGTTATTATATCTTCTTGCTTAAATATTTCACTGCAAATGTGATAGAACAGAGAACTCACAAACTCATCTGTGTCTTTATGCTTATCTGTCTTACAAGAAGGAGGGTCTCTTCCATCTTTCAAGAATTTTCATTCAACTACTGAAGCGAAATGGTCTCCAATATTGCTCCAGAGAAGTTGAATGTGCTTGCTGAATAATATTCTCTTGACTTTGAGTTGTTCAAAAATTGGAGTAACAGCTCTCAGCCAGTGGTAGAGTCCGAACACATTTCTAAATCCTTTCTTCATGTAGAAATTAGTAATGTAAGGAGAATCTGAAGACATTAACTTTGTATACTCTTCTACAACTTGGTTAAATTTAGCAAAACTAGCCATTGCTTCATTGATATCAACTTTGTCTAAGTCAAAATTTTTAGGATCTATTACATTGTTCAAGTTTTCAGGAGATAAGACTGTGCTCATGAAGATAGTTGAATCAACAATAGCTTCAATGTTCTTTCCAGCCATTTCTGATCCTCTTTGAATTTTCTTCTTCCACCATAAATGAACTAACTTATTTACTTCTGTTTGTCATTGCTCAGCCTCTCTCTCAACATCTGAAACATTGTCTTTGTCAAACTCTAAAACTCCTGCGAAATTGGCAGTGGCATAATTATTACTGCCTACAATTTTATATCTCTTCATGTATTCTTCTCTTTTCAACTCTCCAATTATTTTAGGATCTGCTTCTTCATTTTCATGAGAATCTTCACCAGCTCTTTTATGTTCTTCGATCTTTTTATCAAACTCAAGTATGGACTCTTTGTGTGTCTCAAATTCTTCTTTGAGCTTTGTTGCATATAGATCTGAGCCTCCCATGATAATAGCTCTTCTTAAGCTAACCAACCTTTTGATAGTGCTTGAGATATCCATTCCAAGAAATGCATCGAATCTTCTACTGCTACTCCTTAAAATGGTTGAATAGTTCTTGATGAGACAATATAGAACTCTCAGCTTCTCATCATCCCTCTTAATGTATTCAAGGGTCGTAATGTTGCTTTTTGTTACTTCCACTGAATTATTTTCTTGGGCAACATCCATATCTCTGTTTTCAGGCAAAAAGTCAGTTGCATTTTCAAGCGGGCCAAGAATCTTCTCCACACTATCAAGGCTACTAATTAAGTCTGCATGTACATTTTCAAGCAATTTAGGATACTCGGTGATGAAGGATTTGAATACTTCTTTGTATATGATTGTTTCTTTGGCAATAGCATCTGCCACTATTGGAACCTTGAACAAGGTAAGTAGTTTCTCAGACATTTCAGCAGATCAAACACTTTTCTCAATGATCTTCTCATTGTTCATTCTGGTGTTATCTTCAATGATGTGATGCAAAAGGTTGAAGAAAGAATCGAGTTGATCATCAAATTTGTCTTTCAGCCTTCCATCTTCTATTTGTTCTTTGGGTTTATTAGCAAGAGCAACAGAACTTTCGATAAGGTAGTCCACATTTTTCAATAGCTGGATAACAGCTCTCTTCCTATACTCATCATCATTCCTAAGTAAGTCTCTAAGGTACTGGTGATATTCATATGCTTTATCTCAATTGATATAATGGTAGCCATATCCTGGCTCAAGAGGGACGAGCATGGCCTTCTCAATCAGTTTGCTAAGCTTTAACTGCTCTCTACCCTTATCATGAATTGATACAGCTGTTATAAGCTTCAAAAGAGCTAGGTAAAACTCAATGTAATTAGGTACTCTCTGTTCCAAGCTCTTAAAGGTATCATTCAGGAAACTGTCACAAGCTTTAGGGATCTGAGCTGGTAAATCATTTATCACCAAAGACATTAAATGCATACTGCAGACTAACACAACATCATGAGTGTTTGAGTTTTCCTCTCTGTTTTCAGCAAAAAGCTTCAAACAATGTGTCAATAGACCATTATCTAGAATCTTCTTTGAGTTAGAAGCAAAATTAGGATCGTTTTTGAAGATAGATCCATTGAGGAGTCTAAAAAGGACTCTAAAGAACTCTTGTCGTGAAGATCCATGGATTATTGCATCCTTTGCTTGAATGTACCTCCAGTTTTCAAGGGGAATCTCTTGATGAGAGTCTTTTAAAATCAAATTAATTTCAACCTTGAGTCTGGTAATTGTTCTTTCAACTGCTTTAAATTCTTCATAGTTATTTTTCAAAGTATAGTGAAGGATCCTTGCAGCCTTAGTTACTTGACTGTGCTTAAATACATAATATCCATTTTGTGGTTTAGCATCAAGGAACTTCAGTAATTCGTTAATGAAAGATCTTGTATTGTTTCTGAACTGTGTACTAATTAGATATAAAACTTCCAAGAACTGATCACAGAAAGCTGGATCTTTAGCTGTTTCATTTGGCAGAAATCCAGCTCTGCTTTTTAGCTGGTACTCAGGTGTGTCGAATGCACTTAGATTCTCTTCCTGGCTTTGAACAATTTTTAGGCTTGTTAGATCATGTAGAATTCTATGAACTGGCTTTGTCCCATTACTAGTCACTCCTAGAGAATTTAAAATCTGGCTTGGAGCATGTTTGTATGGATTTGTATTCTCTGACTGGTTCAATGATGCACATAGATAACTGTGGATGATTTCAAGCGAAATTGTGTGTAATTCCTATAACGATAGCTCAATAATACTTACGCTATTGCATTTCTGAGTCAGGAATGCTATTAATTCTGGAATAAAATCAGTAAATGGGTGCATTCTGTTGAATCTGTCAACATTGAACAGATCTCCTTCTTCGACAATCGATAAATGGATGAAGACAGACTTGGCTTTGAGTGTTACCTTGTTAGCACTCAGTAAGTTTTGTTCTTGTCAATGAGTAGCATAGATTTTGCTCCCAATAAGTGTCCTCATTATGTAGGGATCAAGGTTATGTCTTTCTTTTGTTTTGCGTTTTTCAAGAACGGCGTTGATATTTCTGTAACTAAAGATTGCAAATTGCTCTGGTGCTCTTCCTTCATCACGATTCGAATCATCTGTCGGAACCTTAACGCTAATGAGCGTTCTGATGTTTTCTATGCTCTTAAGCAGCGATAGCTTGTGTTTTTCAACAGGAATTATTTTGTTAATATCAACGGATTCAAAAATACTCATAGGCTTGTTTGCGAAAGAGTGAAAGCAATTGGCCCAGAAAGCAATCATCTTCAAAAGGTCATGGTCGTCGAGCTCATGTGCTCTAGTGAACTTTCCAGTCAGGCATGATTTCCGAATAAGGGCATAAATAGCTTCAAGGCACAGAAAAATGATATCAAAGTCATCTACTCATTTTAAAATGTCTGAAAATCTCTATTACAATTAATTCAAATACTTACATCCACAGAGCTATAGATCGAGCGTGAGTTGCACTCTCTGAGTAAGTTCATACTGAATGATAGCAAAATGCTGAGTTTCTGGCAGCAACCTTGATAAATTTCATTGGGATTTCCTAACTCTTGTTTGAGATCGTTAAGCTTGTGGATTGTTTCAATGAGTGTTTCAAACATAGAGTCAACTTTGTTGAGAACATTTATCCAATAGTATAGATCTTTAGTTGTGACTGACACCCAGAATTCTTTGTCTGCTAATTTATTGAGAACTTCTAAGAACTTCGATTCATCTTCGATGCAGTTCTCCAGCTCTCTAATTTTATTTATTCCATCATCTCTCTAGAAAGTAAGTTAGAGATCATTAAAATTGGAGATTGATTTTTGACAAAAAAGTAAGATTATTTTATTCTTTATTTCAGAGAAAACTCAAATTTAGTATTTCTCACAATAAGTCAGAATTTATTATCATAATTAAGCTCATTTGGTATTACTATGAAAGTATGTCTTACAATGAAACACTAGAAGAGAATATAATTATCAGGGCACTTTCATAAGTATTCTATCTCATGTTCCTGTAAAAATTACTCTATTTATTAGAAATAATAAAAAATGGAAGATTTTGTAAAATCGTAGAGGGCTAGGATAAAATCAACATGTAAGATTTCTCTACTTCAAAAAGTACTCTAATATTTTACTCCTATCTTTCTGATTGACTTACCAAATGCCGAGTTGGGAACTTTTGTTCGTCTAGAGTTTCGATGATTTTCATATTTATGATAATATTATTATAAAATCTCCTTAAGTGTGGAAATAAGTTTCACAGTTAAATCAACCAACTTTGGTTAATTAGGGGTTTTGGGGTTTTGGGGTTTTGGGGTTTTGGGG